CGCTCTGAGTCTATTCATGTCACTCTGGATGAGACTGGAATTCTGTTTAAGGATGAGGGTGAAATGGACATTGGGCAGGTACCTGGGTTCTGCCACAGGCTTCCAGCTCACAAAGAGTGAAGTACAACTCCTGTGGGAGCTGGTCTGTGCCCACCTCTGTGGATTCATTTCTCAACCCTTCCTCCCTCCCTCTGCTCCAGCCACCCTGGCCTCTCTCCTCTCCACATCACCTCCGTTCTTTTCCTCCTCCAGGTCCCAGAGCCTTGCACCCTTTTATGTCATGACATCTCAGGCCAAATGCTATTCTCCAAGTTAGGCCTTTCCTGCCTGCCTTATGCAAGGTCAACTTGCTGAGTATTTCCCATCACATCATGCTCTCATTCTCTCATTTGTTGTCTTGTTTTCTGCCTGCCTGACAACCAACGCAGGAACTTATGTTGTTCCATGCTCTGTCCCCAGAACCAGCATGATGCCTGGCACATAGCAGGCACCCAGTAGACAGCGGGAGGCAGTAGGCTATAGTTGATAAGAGCCCAGGCTCTGGAGTCACATGGGGCTGGCTTTGCATACCAGCTTTGCTGCTTGTGAGCTATGTGACCTCAGGACAAGTGACCTAGAGTTTCTGTTCCTCATTGTCATTTGCAAAGTCAGAATTTTTTTTTTTTTTTGTGGCTGGCTGGTATGGGGATCCAAACCCTTGGTGTTATAATACCGTGCTCTAATCAGCTGAGCCAATTGGTCAGCCTGCAAAGTGGGAATTCTAAGTGCCTATATATTAGTTATGTGGGATATACAGGTTCAGTTGCTGGACTGAAGGCTCCAAACAACAGTGGCTTAAAGAAGACAGTTCATTCTTCTTTCTTGAAAGTCCAGGACATGTGAGGATGTTGCTCTTTGAAATTTCTAGGGTTCCAGATTCATATGTCCTTTTTTCCATCCTTAAAATGTCTCTGTCTTCATGGACTTAGATGACTCATTGCCAAATCCTCATTCCTGCCAATGGGAAGGAAGAAAAGGGAAGAAAAGCCATGACCCGAAAGTTGTACATTGTAGTAATTTGATAGGGCTGCCATAATAAAGTACCATAAACTGGGCAGCTTAGCTAACAGAAACTACTAGTCTCACAGTTCTGGAGGCTGGAAGTCCAAGATCAAGGTGTCAGCAGGGCTGGCTCTTTCCGAGGGCTGATTCAGGCCTCTCTCCTAGTTTCTGGTGGTTTTCTGGCAACCTTTGATTTTGCTTGGCTTGTAGAGGCATCACCCAGATCTGTGCCTTCATCATCACATGGCTTCTCCCTTTCTGTAGGTCTGTGTTCCTATTTCCCCTTTTTATAAGGACACCAGTCACACTGTATTAGGGCCTACCCTGATGACCTCATTTTAACCAGATTACCTCTGTAAAGACCCTGTCTCCAAAATGGCTTCTCCCTTTCTGTAGGTCTGTGTTCCTATTTCCCCTTTTTATAAGGACACCAGTCAAACTGTATTAGGGCCCACCCTGATGACCTCATTTTAACCAGATTACCTCTGTAAAGACCCTGTCTCCAAATAAGGTCACCTTCTAAGGTACTGGAGGTTAGAATTCCAACATATCTTTTTTTTTTTTTTTAAGTGGGGGGCATCATTCAACCCATAACACACATGTTACTATTACTGACATCATATTGGCTGGACTCAGTCACATGATTGAGTAGCTGCAAGGGAATGTGGGAAATGTAGTCTTTCATTGGGCAGTCTTGTGTATAGCTAGACATTCTATTATTGGAAAAGAAATGGAGAAAGGATTTTGGGAGACAGAAGGCAGTCTGTTCCCCAAATGATCTCACAGGGTTATTGTAGAGCTTGACATTTGTGGCCAAATAATTCTTTGTTGTGGGGACTGTCTTGTGCATTGTAGGATGTTTAGCAGTACCCCTGGCCTCTACCCACCAGATCCCAGTCGTGCCCCTTCTCCTTGCAGTTGTAACAACCCAGAATGTCTCCACACATTGCCAAATGTCCCCTGGGGAGCAAAATTGCCCCCACTTGAGTACTATGGATCATTGGGAGGGTGAAGTAAGGTAATGTTCTCAGCACAGTCCTAGGCAAGTGTTCAATAAAAGTTATCTTGATCCAGCAATCCCATTACTGTGTATATATCCAAAGGAAATGAAAACTATGTTGAAGAGATATTTTCACTCCCATGTTCACTGCAGTGCTATTCACAATAGCCAAGATATAGAATTAACCTAAGTGTTCATCAATCAATGAATGGATAAATAAAATGTGGTATATATACACAATGGAATACTATTCAGGTGTACAAAGAATGAAATCCTGTCATTTGTGACAATATGAATGAACGTGGAGGACATTATATTAGGTGAAAGAAGCCAGGCACAGAAAGACAAATACCACATGATCTCACTTGTATGTGGAATCCAAAAAAGTTGAACTCAGAGAAGCAGTAGAATGCCTGCAAAGTGAGAATTTTTGGGATTGGGGGTGAAAGAATTGTGGAGATTTTGGTCAAAGGATACAAAATTTCAGTTCAATAGGAGAAATAAGTTTAAGAGATTTATTGTATATCATGGTGACTGTAGTTAATAACAATATATTGTATACTTGCAAATTGCTAAAAGGGTAGATTTTAAGTGTTCTCACCACACACAAAAAACGTGTGTTAGGTAATACATATGTTAATTAGCTCAGTTTGGCCATTCTACAATGTATACATATTCTAAAACATCCTGTTGTATACCATTAACTTATAGTTTTTGTCAATTAAAAAGGAAATTAATTAAAAAAACCCCAAACCGTATGAGATGCCATTTCACCTTTACTAGAATGGCTGTGATAAAAAAGATAAAAACAAACAAATGTTGGTGAAGATGTAGAGAAACAAGAACCCCATTTATTATTGATGGAAATGTAAAATAAAATGGAACAGCCACTCTGAAAAAAAAAGTTATCTTTTTGTTGTCCTTGATTCAGGTCACTTTCTCTTGACAAACTTGCTGCTGGACAAGCTGAAAACCTCGGCCCCTTCACGGATCATCAACCTCTCATCCTTGGCCCACGTTGCTGGGCACATAGACTTCGATGATTTGAACTGGCAGAAGAAGAAGTATAACACCAAAGCAGCCTACTGCCAGAGCAAGCTGGCCGTTGTCCTCTTCACCAAGGAGCTGAGCTGGCGGCTGCAAGGTGCGTGAGTGGCAAAACTCGCTGGCCTCCGTCTTTCTTTACCATTGAGCCTGGAGCAGCCCTTCTGTAGCCCTGGGTCGATGGGAGGGCAAGCTCTGGCTCCAGAACAGAGCAGGCAAGAGTATGCACACATACCACCAGATTCCCTTCTGGTGCCTGAAGCAGAAATCACTAATCAGTCATTCTTCTAATGATTGTCCTTTAGTCCCTGTCAGTCTGCCCTAATCGGGCATCCTTCCATGCTAATCTTTGAAGGCTTGTAAGCCTCTGGTGCTCTAAGCCAGTGGTTCTCAACTGAGGATGATTTTGGCTCCCAGGAGACATTTATGAATATCTGGAGACATGCTTAGCACAACTGGGCAGGGGGTGGTGTGATACTGGTGGTGTGATAGTGGGTAGAGTTCAGGGATGCTGCTCAACATCCTACAAGGCACAGGACAGCCCTCCACTCTTCAACCCAAAATATCCATAGTGCCAGGTTGAGAAAACTGCCCTAGCTTCTTGCTTCTCAAAGATGGTCTGTAGACCATCTCCTCGCCTGGTCATAATAGGAGCTGGTCTTAATAGCAGCATCTCAGATCTCACCTGATCCACTGATTCAGACTCTTCGGGGGTAGAGCTCAGTGTTCTGGGTTTGTGAAGCCCTCCAGGAAAGCTCTGCTCTGGGCCACACTGTGACAGAGCTGCCTTGCAAGGTTAAACCACTTGACATTGAGGTTTCAGAGTAAGAGAGATGATGTGGGTTTGAGTGTAGCAAACCAGGGAAGCCCCAGAGCTTAGTGTGGGTTGCAACAGCCTTCCAGATAAGGAGTGAACCTG